CTCCTGAGGAGATTAACCTGTTGCATTCCAGAGGCAGAGAACAGGAGGGACCTCGATGCCACCAATGCCCCAGGCCTCTCCAGTGGTGGAAAACTGATTGAGATATACCCAGATAGTCTCAGCAGGTGACCCACATCCCATGCTGCAGAGGAAGGCAAAAAATCTCCAAGGCCCCTGCCAAATATGACCTGGGGGGAAATTCCTTCCCAATGCCAAATCTGGCCATTAGTGTGATCCTCAGCATGTGAGACACACCAGCCAAGCAGCTAAAGAAAGGGGATTCTCTGTTCCACCTCAAAGTACTGGGTCATGCCCCCACACCAGCGTCACCAGCTGTGGCCAGTCTCCACTGCTTTGGAGGAAGATGGGGAAAACAACCCAGAATATACCCCAGGTCCCATCTGTCAAACAATTTTCTTTACTAATAACTAAAGAGGAGGTTTTCAAAAGCATAGGTGGGAATTAAGCACCTAACTCCCATTGATTTTCCATGGGGATTGGGTGCCTCACTGCCCTATGTAGTCTTGAAAACTACCACCTAATCTCAGTTGCCCCTGTAACTAATGGTCACGACCTATTTTGTTGGAGTTTCTGCCCTAGATATTTCTCAGTGCCCCGGAATGCTGTAGACGACCGTGCTGAAGTATGATGGTAACATGACTTCTTCATTGGCCTATGCCTCCAGCAGGATGGGGCCTGGATACATGACTCCCCTGGGTTCATTACTAATTGAGATCATTGTCCAGCTCCTGAGTGTGCAGTACATCCCAGCAAACATGGGGTTAACTGAATGACACAGAGGCCATGTGTACATTTAAACTGCAGCTGCACTGCTGTAGTGTTTCAGAGTAGACACTATCTACACCTATGGGAGGTGAAGACAAGTCACCTCCCAAGAAGCAGTAGCTAGGTCAACAGAAGAATCCTTCCATTAACCTCGCACTGTCTGCACCGAGGGTTAGGTCAGCATAGCTACATCTCTCAGGGGCGTGGATTTAGCCCTGAGAGACGTGGCTATCCCGAGGTAAATCCCCAGCATAGACCAGCCCAGACTAGGGTGACCAGATGTCCTGATTTTATAGGGACAGTCCCAATATTTGGGGCTTTTTCTTATATAGGCACCTATTACTCCCCACTCCCTGTCCCGATTTTTCACATTTGCTATCTGGTCACCCTAGCCCAGACACAGTCACAAGATAGCCATTTCATGCACACACCACATGTTTAATACAGAGGCATAGGTGCTCGAACTAGAGGTGTGGGGGGTGCTTTAGCACCCCCTGGCTTGAAGTGGTTTCCATCATGTACAGGGTTTACAGTTTGGTTCAATGGCTCTCAGCACCCCCACTGTACAAATTGTTCCAGAACCCCAGTACAGAGGCATGTTTCCAAAGCTGTACCAATTGTGCTCTGCATTAAAAGCATCCCCCTGGGCCCTTTACTGAACATCAGACCTGTTAATGATGACACATCTGCTTCCCGCCAGTTTATAACTCCCTGGGTGGAAGGAATCCCTCAGAAAGTCAGGGACAAACCTGTTACAGGAGCCACTTACTGTACCCACTGGCAACGCATTTCAAAGGGGGCCCCCGCTGTCCTGTCAGACTTGTAAAGTAATTGATACGCATGTTACCAACAGATACTGTATCATTCGAGCCGTCAGCAAACAAGAGGGCACCGTACAGGTATTTCAGTGCCTGCAACATGCTTCAGCTCCCTGCTGAGGGTTTATGTTGTAAAAGAGACAAGAAGCAGCCTGTGTTCTCTTCTGTGGGCTGCTGTAGCATGGAACTTGGCACGACCCCGATGGAAGAGCGTGTTCGCAAAGCTAGTCCTGCATTTTTAAATAGCAGTGTCGCGCATGATAGCGCTGTTTGTGGCAGCAGAGCTCAGCGCATACCCACCGGTTTCAGGTGCGTACATCCTCGGCAAGGCTCAGGTTTGCCTCCGCTCCTGGTACCAGCACAGCTGTGGCTTCACGGCTAGTCAGACTCACGCTAGCTCCGTGAGTGCTGGTTTGAGTGTGTGTGTACACAAGCGCGTGCATCAGACCCCTCGCTTGTAGTAGAGACATAGCCTACGTGACTTACTCACATGCAAGGAGCCTATGTATAAGTAGGGGCATGGCGAGCAGATCGAGGGACGTGATCGTTCCCCTCTATTCGACATTGGTGAGGCCTCATCTGGAGTACTGTGTCCAGTTTTGGGCCCCACACTTCAAGAAGGATGTGGATAAATTGGAGAGTCCAGCGAAGGGCAACAAAAATGATTAGGGGTCTGGAACACATGAGTTATGAGGAGAGGCTGAGGGAGCTGGGATTGTTTAGCCTGCAGAAGAGAAGAATGAGGGGGGATTTGATAGCTGCTTTCAACTACCTGAAAGGGGGTTCCAAAAAGGATGGCTCTAGACTGTTCTCAATGGTAGCAGATGACAGAACGAGGAGTAATGGTCTCAAGTTGCAGTGGGGGAGGTTTAGATTGGATATTAGGAAAAACTTTTTCACTAAGAGGGTGGTGAAACACTGGAATGCGTTACCTAGGGAGGTGGTAGAATCTCCTTCCTTAGAGGTTTTTAAGGTCAGGCTTGACAAAGCCCTGGCTGGGATGATTTAACTGGGATTTGGTCCTGCTTCGAGCAGGGGGTTGGACTAGATGACCTTCTGGGGTCCCTTCCAACCCTTATATTCTATGATTCTATGAAAGAAACAGAAATTGAACCGATCTCCTGGGTCCCAGTAAGCTGTTTTACCCACCAACCATCCTCCTGAACCGTAGATTAGAAATTATTCTGTAGATTGTCTGTGGAGGGATAGGCCTCTCCATTCTCAACATACAGGAAAACTATGACATAGTGAGGCTTATACCTAACATCTTCAAAAATAGCTCTGGGAGAACTCTGGCTGTCATTTCTGAACATGGAAATGGTTATTATTCATTGTTCTCTCATTCTGTTATTGACACGCTTGTGCGAATATGGAGGAAGTGAATCAAGTCTATGGGAAGGATTTGAATGAACTGAAGGTAGAGGACCAGTGTATGGCTCTGTTCTATTTTGTTCTGGTTTATTCTTGTACTTATAGAGAGCTGATTGAAAAAAATGTAATATTTTCTGAGCAAGTCTTCAAAACATTCAAAATAGGGTTCATTCCACAGGTTTTGGAAAGGAACAATTTGCTTTTTTCAAAATGTTTCCTACAAAGTTTATTCTAAAAATTTTCAAAATGAATATCTGGGGCCTTTCATTTTCATTTTATTTTGGTTTGGGGGGGTTGTTTTGGGGCATGGGGCTGTAATCCCTTTTTCCATTTTGCTCATGAAAATGGAGTGAGGGGGAATCAAAACTAAAAATAATCCCTAAAATTCTGATTTCACCAAATTGGCCCAATTTTTCTGTTTCAGCTAAAAAAAAATCTTTAACATTCTGAATTTCAATAATTTGTTTAAAGATCAATATGTGCATCAAAACAATGAACCATTTCATATATCTGCAACAATGACCTCGTCTACTGATCAGCTGTGGGATTGAATCCTGGATGATGAGCATCAAAACTACAGGTCTCAAACATTTGAGCTAAAAAACTACATTATCTGGGTACTACTAGTAGGCTGTGTAGTTGCTGGAACCTGCCACTAAAGGGAGACAGGAAAACACACACACATACTCTGTCTCTCTGAAAACATTTTTTCACTAAATTTCGCAATAGAAACGATTCACTGGAAAAGCATGGTAAACTTAAAGGAATAACCAGACAAACACACCTTCCTGGCCTAATTGTTTTCTCTTGTCAAGCATTATTAGATTTAATGTATTTTTGTATTTATTTGTATTTATTTTACTTTTTATTTTATTGCAACTTTAGGAACACATGATGCAACCAGTGTATTCTTGACCTTTAGCTTCTCCACAGCAGTTTGAAAATGGTATTATTTTTGCTGTTCAGCAACGCAGTCTAAGTCTTGCAACAATAGCAAGGGATAGCTGGGGCCTTGAGCTGTTTAAAAAGTTTATTCCTTTAAAAACAAAACAAAAAAAGCACAATCTAATCCTAACCTTTTTCCTTTGTTTTTATTGGTCAGAGGTGCTGAAGGTTTTACTCACACTGGCCGAAATACATAAGGCTTAAGAGAAGCACAAGCCTTATACTAGACCACTGCATGGGGTGAATTTCATCCCTTTCTGTACTGCGTTGACCATACAATAACACTCTTTACTGGACTGGGCTAGGTGTGGCTGGGCCTATTTGCCAAGTGTGTGTAGCCAAAAAGAGCCCGCACTTTTGGGAGCAGCTCCCACTATATAACCTTACCTATGTGCCATGAATTTTTGTCTCCCTGCTTTGCCCACCATTCCTACTAGTGATAAATCTGTCCTGCCAGCTGCCAAATGTCTGTTGTGTGAAAAATTCCTTGCCTTGGGCAAGTCATGTAACCTCTCTGGGCTTCGGTTCCCTATCTGTAAAAAATTTTTTTCCCCTAATAATCTTTCCCTTGCCCATTTAGGCCCAGATTCTACAAAAGCTCATGTACATTTTAATTTTCCATAGTCCCACTGGTCCCCTCAGCAGATGAAGTTAAGCACATGCCTAAATCTCTGCAGGATGGGGGCCTTCGATTCTTACAGCTTCAGAGCATGGACTGTCTCTCACAATGTGTTTGTACAGCACCTCACACAACTGGCCATCAATCTCACCCCGGTCTTTAGTGCTAGTGTGTGGGCTACCATGTTGAATGAGCCTGGGGATTGAACTGGGAACCTCGGGAGCTAAAATAACAAGTATTTGCAGCGTCAGCGAGAGACCATTTATCTGGAACAGTCCCCTACCCTCTGTGGGTTGGACACTTAGGGATGAAGGCAATACATACTGACCATTGGGTGACAAGATCATAATGAAAATAATTACTGGAGAGCAAGACGAGACCCCACTGAAAATCAGGGCCTGTATCTAAATTCTAACAGGATCCTGAAGAAAAACAAGGCCAGCCCTTGGTGCCTGGTTTAAAACACTTCCAACCATATATATTTTATTCGGTTAAGGAGGGAAGGAGGAGGGGACTACAGAAGGAAGAATAAGTGGGGAATCTTAGTTCCCAAAACAAGCCATCAAAGACATTCCAAAGCTAAGATGCCTCTTGCTTTATCAAGATGAACAAATTAATAGGCTAATTGTTGCTGGGGCCAAGTTCTGGTATGTTTCTGGTTTGGAGGTCTGTTATTGTTATCTCAGCTGTGGGACGAAAGGAGTAGGAGGGGAGGAGAAAGGACCTTCAAACACCTGGATTCGTTGGCCTCACATTTAATAGGAAGCAGCATGGGCCACAGGGGACATGTCGCTCTTTTCCACCTACATGTTATTCCAGCCATAAATCCGAGTGACAAGCTTGAACTTTTCTCAATTGACATGTTTACAAGGGAAGTCCACATTTGACAGGAAAATTAAGCATATCAATCACTTAACGAGCTCGTTAATGAATGGCTCTCAGATCTCTCCGATTTCATGCCTGGTAGCACAATTTATTGATCAACCGCCTTTTCTGCTGGAGCTGCCTGCAGTCTTCCTAGAGCCAGATGTTGCCATACCTTGACCCTCAAAGCCAGTGACTGGTTCTGGTCAGGGTTTATCAAGAGGTCAGTTTCTCTTTCAAACCGGAGTTTCCCTTTTCTTTCTTCTTTGTTCTATCAGGAAAAAAAAAATAAAGAGAACAGATGTAGGCTCTGGGCCTCTCACACCCACTCAAACATATGGAAGCTATCTCCTCTGTCTTTGTAATTACACAGGAGCTTGCTTTTCAATGCTTCAGTTTTTATTGCACAGAAACCAACCTATTCCTACATAAAACATTTTTACGGCAGCTCCCCAGGGGCTCCTTTGCAAGATCACATCAGGTATAAAAATGTGCAGGAGACCCTGACAGCTAGCAGAAGCCTTAGACATATGAAGTGTGGACTTGTGAGGCATGCTGCAAGGAGCGTGCAGTGGCATAAAGATGGGGAATGGAATAGGTGGAATGCTTATCAGACAGGTGAGAGCATGAGCGACCCAGCCTAATCAAGAGTGTTCTAGTCTGAGGTGAGGTGGGGGGAAATTAGGCCTGAGTAGAGCTGTGTATGCTAGAAAAACACAAATCAGAGCCTATTAGGAAAATGCAACAGCTGTCAAGAGATACCATAGTGCACAAAATATCTCCAAACCTTAGTTACAATAGGCCTCAGCCATAGCTCTGGTGACAAAGTCTCCTCCCCCTCCCCATCCTGCCAAATATTGTGTCCTGTTGGAAATCTGGTCTATCTAGGTGCTTATACAACTCCTATCCTATCTGAGCACCTCACAAACATAACTGAATTGATTCACACAGTGCCCGTGCGAGCTAGAGAAGGGCTATCCCTGTTTTACAGCTGGAGAGTGGAGGCATGTCTTCACTGAGGAGTTAATTCAAATTAACTCCTCTCGAGTTAGCCTAGCTCAAGTGAGAGAGGCCACACTAATACTTGAGCTACACAGAGGGGTTGTGTTAGCAGCTAATGAGCTGTGCTAACTCAGGCTTTAGCCTATTTCCCTGACCTCCCAGCCAACCCTCACTAAAAGCACCACCACACTCCAGTTAAGGGATTTTTTGTGTGGACAGGACTCAAGTTTGGGGCAACACTCCAATTAACTGAAGTTAATGTTGCAATGAAGACAAGCACAGCTTCTCATAGGTATTTAGGGTCTTAACGTCCATTGATTTCAATAGAAGTTAGGAACCTAAATATCTTCAGGATCTGCACTGAAGTGACTTGCCTGAGGTTACACTGAAAGTCTGTGGCAGAGCCAGGAAGTGACTGAAAATCACCCATGTCTCGTGGACCATCCTTCCTCCACAAGATCTGCATTCTAGATAGCAGTGATGCTGGCAAGGGACTCTAGGCTGTATTAGATGATTGGTTTTAGGGATGATGCTTGGTAAGACAATGGAAGAGGCATCTGTATGTTACTCCACAATCTAATGGATTTTTTAAAAAAGCCCTACTAGAGTGCATCGTGAATATCCCAGTATACAAAGATGACAATTTAAGTGTTTAAAATGTGCTCAAGGTAATTCCAAACAAATTTTAAAGCCATTTCAGACTGTAAAACCCCACAGCTAAATCACTGGCTGTGTGGTGTGAGTGCTTATGTTGCAAAATATTCCTCGGATAGAAGGCAAGGTTTTGAGAGCAGGCAGTAAATAATTATAAATTAGATATTAGTATTAAAAGATGGATTTGTAGCGAATTGATCTTTTGTTTATCAGGATACACATCTTGCCCCACCTCCCTGGGGAACAGTTTTTTATGAGATTTTGGGGGAATTCAGACATTGTAGCTTTTCCAAAATGTACCAAAGTGGGCTGGATGAGTGAAAAAAGCCCACACAATAATGATACTTAGCACTTCCATAGTGTTTTCCTTTTGCCGATATCAAAGTGCGTGGCCTACATTGGTCACACATCATATTAAGGTTCCATTTAGAACTGGTTTATAAACAATTAATAGATGTTAGAAGTACATTACAGACATTAGTAATATACGTTTATAGATGACTCTAAGCACAGCAGTAGAAGGTGTTATAGATGGTTGTAAACCAGGGTTATTATTACAAGCAACTATTTATTATTAACTATAATTATTATTTATTTAGATTTTGTATTGTAGCAGCACCTCCTGGTCATGGACTAGGGCCCGTTCCACAAGGTGCTGTACAAACACAGAACAAAAAGGTTTGGAAGCTCTCTGGTACAGGGACTGTCTAAGTACTGACCTGTTGGACGCTATATCAATTGATTAACCAGTCATTAAAATGTCTATTAATCATTTCTTAACCCTAAAGAAACCATTTATTAAAGGACCCACAATAAAACATGTGACCCAAATGGCAAATAAACTCCATAGTGTCCCTAGGAGGTAAGCTTATTGGGCTTGAATCTCCTCTCCCATGCACTGGTATAAGTCAGAATTAATGCCGCCCAAGTCAACGGCCTGACATGAGCACAAGTAAAAGACAAATCAGGCCTATTGTCTCCAATTTCCCAGATGGGGAAATGGAGGCAGAGTGGTTGGACGTTTCAAATGGTCCCAGCCTTGGCCTAACTCTTCTTCCATTGCAGTCAGTGATAGAATTCCCACAGACTCCAATGGGAGCAGAGTTAGGCCAGCACTAAGTACCTTTGGAAACCCATCCAATAGATGGTAAATGACTCATCCAGCATAACACAGCAAGCCAGTGGCACAGTTGGGAATAGACCAGAGTTCTCCTGCCGCCCAGGGCTTTGCTGCCATCACACAACTATCCTTCCTTGGGGCCACAGCAGCTGCATATGGGAGATTTTGTCAGAACACACTGCCACACTGCTTGGCTTTATCCCGATAATTCCCTTCTCCCCTCATCCCAATTTACCACTTTAAGGAATCAAAATACAGTGCATGAAAAATACAAACTCCCGCACAGCTGGCCAGGGAGTGGCAGCTTGGAGCAGACTCATCAGCACAGTATCGCACAAGGCTCCCTGTGTGTGCCCAGCATGTTTGCTAGCTGAAGCTGGAGCGGGGTCCCTAGTGGGTTCGTGGGAGGCAGCAAGGCCAGGTGTGATGGTTGGGCGCTGCCTGAGCTGGCAGGAGTCTTGCTGAGAGCAATACAGCTGCAAGTTGCTCTTGGCAGATATAACGAGACAGGAAAAGAGGAGCCAAGCTAGAAGTGATGCCAGTTCAGCATTTCTCATCCCATGAATATCTACAAAAGGTGATGGCTGAAGGTGTCCACTTGAGTTGCCTCCACCACCAAGAAAGCCTAACCATGTCCCTTCTTCACCAACCACTTTTGCTGCTTCCTTGCATTACTGGATGATCACAGGCATTCCCAGGTCAATGAGCACAAGACACAACGCCCTGCTTCTCTGCTGCAGACGCTAGATGTGCCATTGGCCTGATCCACAATGGCAATCCCTGTGCATGTTCCTTTGTCCCTGCTGCCGCATAAAGCAGGACAGCCTTGCTGGTTCTCAAACCTTCCTCCTCCTGTGAAAGATTCCCTGGGATGTGAATGAATTTTGAGCATATATATTTAAAACCTCCCTGATGACCTTTTCACTTGGGCTCTTGGTTTAGCCAGGAAAATGTGAAATGATTAAGCAGAGTAAGTGTTGGCTTAATAATAATCATCCTCAGCAGCACCTAGCTAGAGCTATATAGCTTCAAAGCTCTCTGAAAGCTAGATACACAAATAGACTTGGGACCAGTCCATAGTTCACAGCTCACAGATGGCTCTCAGGGCCTGATGCTTCGGGGATGAGAAGCAACAGCAGTTCCCCATCTTCTCCAGTTGGAGTTGTGTGCATTATGGTGATTATTTATTGTGTGTATTATTGTAGCACATACAGAACCCAACCAAGACCAGGATTCACTTAAGTGACCTTGGGCAAACCATTTAATCTCTCTGTGCCTCGGTTTCCCATCTTCTGGTTGTATGTTGTAATCTTTTCTCCAATAATTTGTCTGTCTTATCTAGGTAGACTGCAACCTCTTCAGGGCAGGGACGGCCTCTCATTATGCATGTGTACAGCACCTAGCACACCTCAGCTCAGTTGGGGTCTCCACACGTCATCAGAGTAATGACGGTGGGAGATTTTCAGCTAAAGCTCAAATGCAATCAAAGCTGAGGGGCCTGACTTTGTTTTTACGTGCATTGGTTTTACAGTGGTGCGTCTCCACTAAATTCAGGAGTCACTCCTGATTTACAATTGTATAGGTGAGGAGTGAATCAGGCTTGAAGGTTCTAATCTTCCCAGCCTTGTCACCCTTCCAAAGGGGACGTGCCATGCAGAGGCCTCCTAAAAGAGACCTTGTGAACTGAGAGCTGTCTGCCTCAAATTTATATTCTGGATCCCACAGGGAACTTTTTGGAAGAGGAGGAGGTCTGCTCCCTTATATTGTGCACAGTTCACTCTCACACACATGTACATTGTTGTTCAGCTTGCTGTATTGTCCACAGCTCTCCCACCCCAGAGGTGGTTACCACCTGACACATCGGGGCCTTAATCCCTGACTGGATCCTTTGGTGCAATACAAATATTAAGAAAGAACCAGTGTGCTGCTTGGGTTTGTCACATCTGTGTGGCATCTTTCTGTGACTTGTCCAGAGCAAGCTTCTTCATCATAGAATCATAGAATATCAGTGTTGGAAGGGACCTCAGGAGGTCATCTAGTCCAACCCCCTGCTCAAAGCAGGACCAATCCCCAACTAAATCATCCCAGCCAGGGCTTTGTCAAGCCTGACCCTAAAAACCTCAAAGGAAGGAGATTCCACCATCTCCCTAGGTAACCCATTCCAGTGCTTCACCACCCTCCTAGTCAAAAAGTTTTTCCTAATATCCAACCTAAACCTCCCCCACTGCAACTTGAGACCATTACTCCTTGTTCTGCCATCAGCTACCACTGAGAACAGTCTAGATCCATCCTCTTTGGAACCCCCTTTCAGGTAGTTGAAAGCAGCTATCAAATTCCCCCTCATTCTTTTCTTCTGCAGACTAAACAATCCCAGTTCCCTCAGCCTCTCCTCATAAGTCATGTGTTCCAGTGCCCTAATCATTTTTGTTGCCCTCCGCAGGACGCTTTCCAATTTTTTCACATCCTTCTTGTAGTGTGGGGCCCAAAACTGGACA